CGTGGGAATTCCTAACCTTAAACGCTGACAGTTCTCGCGTGTTTTTCGTAATTAATTAAACTAAGATGATCTAAAAAGTATTTTCTTTTGGAGACACAGTTAATCCATGATTTGGATAAATTTTCTGGGGAGATGATTTTAAGTGATGTATTTATATTGTTTCCATATTAATTTTTAAGACCAGGTAATATTTTAAATTTCGCCGCTTATTGACTCACCCACCTTTTTAAGATAAGCAGTTTTGTTCCGGGGATGGAAATTGCTTAGAATTGGTTTACTGGTTGATTAACTGGTTGCTAGTACTGTTAGTGCGAGCTTGTTGTTAAAATTCTTAGTGTTTTGTAGCAGCTAGCAGTGAAAATATTTTTTGGAAGAGAAAAAAAAAATAGGCTGCAATTTTAATTCAGAAATTCAGATAAAGTTTAAATTTTGTTTTATTTAAAACATCCTTTGTGTGTTGAAGAACATCTGGTGTAATGTTCCTTTACTTCAAGAAGGAAAATTCTGCATTTTCCATCAAGAGTAAAAAACCTTGCTTCCGACTACTCGTAATACAGAGAAATATTTTTTAACTAAAGTGATATCAATATAATATTAGATTTTGTCTAAATTTAGTTTCTCTTAGTTTATGCCTGGTTAGGATAGTAATAAGCGACATTATGTTTACACATTGTTTTTGTAAATACCAACGGTTACAGAGTATTGTTAATCCTATAAATTCTGCAAGAAATTTTAGTTTTAAATACAACTTAATTTGTTAACTTCAGGCTTTGATTTAAAACAAACTTTTATCATGTTTTTATCTTTATTTTCCAGCTTTGCTAAATTCAGTTTAAACTATGTTCAGAGAGAAAATTTGTTAGGAACAGTAAATATTTAACAAAGAAATATTTAAATATGGTCGGAAAAAGATATAGCTTAGATGCTATAATGAATAAGACCATTTTACGCATCTGAATTATTAGAGGTATGAGATAGCAGCAAAGTTCAAGGCTGAATAATTCAGTTTAGGATTTTGCTGTGGATAAAACTGTCTGTTTATGGAGGGAGTTGTTATAAAAACTACTGACATATTTCTTTCAAGATGCATTAAAATTAAAGCAAAAGATAGTGTATGATTTTGAACACAGCAATCATAAATCCTCTATCGTCCTCAATTTTAATATACAATTTTTTTTAAATCTAAGATACTTTATCTGAGATGCTTTAGAACAGAGTTTATGTTGAAATAGATGGTAATGTTAGGAATATTAATTTTTGCAGTGTATTGCATTTATACGTGAAAATAGAAAATTATTTTTGTTTGAATAAAAAAATATATATGAATGCTCTTTATTTCTGTGATGTATTTTTAAACAATAAACTACATAGAATAAATAAAACTGTTATATGTCATTATTAAAACTTGCTTATCACACAAACATGCACACATAAACTGAAAAAAAAGTATTTTAAACTTCCATAAGAAGAAGGGAAGTTCAACTCGTGTTACTCATAATTTATCTCCCAGCATTTTATTAAAACAAATAATGCAATGAAATAGTCTTTTTATAATTCTTTATACCTTATAAAGCTTTTTCACAGCAATGATTGCGCATAGTGACTAAAGTTGCATAATTCCCGGAGAAGCGATTGCAGTGACCAATGATTGTGAATACTCGGATATTGTTGGTTGAATGGACTCAGTGAAACGTGCTGGTTTGTGCTGAGTAGTAAATCGTAGTTGAATGATATCACTTTCGATGTATTAAGTCAGGATCATGAGTTTTAAGCGCGGTTGCAGATGCAACTGGAAAGTCATTTTCATATGCGGGAATTTCTTATAATAATGGAAGTTCACTTGTATCCCAATATCCCAGTTTGTAGTATCCGTACTGCTTGCTCCTCTTTCGAGATCAAGTAAAATTAAGGTTGTTAATTTACTTAAATAATTTTAATGCTTTCGTTCATTTAAATATTAAAGAGGACTGGTGGTAATAGTTCTCTTTTCACAGTTATTAATTATTTTCTCTTTCACAAATCAACATTTCAAGGCACTTTTAATACTATTATTGGCAAGTCTTTTTCTCACAATATATATTTTTGAATCAGTAATGGATATATGTATATATATATATATATATATATATATATACACACGACTTAAAAGTTTCTGTCTTTAAGAAAATATATCCTCATTAAAAATTTACTGTAAGTTAATATTAGTAGAGTAAAATTGTATTCCCTCTTCCCCACAATAATAGTATCAGTTTTTTATGAATTTGTCCCTTAACAATAGGAGCAAAAGAAAATAAATATGGAACGCAACATTTATTATAAAAATTTTAGATTAAATTAAAACAATAAATTAAAGATATTACTCCTGATTTTTATTTTGAGTATTCGGATAGTTTTTGGATTGATGGCTGAAAATAATTTATTGCCTCCTTTATCAGAAAGATGTAGCATTAACTGTGTCACCATGTTTGAAGACTCTATAAATTGATTTCCAAATAGCTTTTGCTCAGTAATCAAGCGTCCGCAGTCTTCTATATATGAAAGGATAATGTATTATAGTATATACGTTTAAGAAGCTGCTAAATTAATTTAGATAAATGTGCATGCCATATGGATTGCTCTCCAGTCTTCGGAAGATATATAGCCTATAAAGACTGGTGGAAAAATGATCCCCGTAATGTAGGTTTAATTGGTTCTTTGTTCACTCCATTATTCATTGTGTAGCTATAACAAACGCTCCATTTCTGAATATAAACTAAATAATTGTGTAAAAATATATGTTAATTCCTTGGACAAGTGAGAAATTTTTGTCTTACAATATGTAGAATGACTGCATCCATTGACTTTATATGAGACTTTTGACGAGCCTTTTGATGTTTCGTGAAGAATTTTCTTTTTCTTGAGAATCAAATATCAAATCTTTTGAGAATAACGTTAAATACTTTTAAACTATGTAACTTTTGTTGAACAAAAATAAAATAAGTAAAATAGAACTGTTTCCCTTGAGATACTTCAAACGCGAATTTAGACTACACTATAAGGTAGTTCTCCCCCCTTCCCCAGCGTGCTTTCGTGGTGTAACGGTAACACGCTGGGTCGGTATTCCAGAGGTCCGTAGTTCGATTCCCGACGAAGGCGGTTGCGTATTTTTCATCTTTTCTGCTTCCAATTAACCTAATGACTCTACAACACAAAAACGGAAATTTGAATATCCAGACTTTTCGAATATCCATATCAGCTGCAATCCAAGTTAGTTTCAGAAATGTTAAATCTCCTTGGTCTTAGGAATTTAAGCCGAACTCCAGTGGTTTATTAGAAAGTCTGGATAATTTTGAATGATTCTGTGCGTTTGAAGTATCTATTTCTTTTTAGAATAAGTTTGTTTTACAACCAAGCTGTAACACTGCTGAACACCAACAATTCAAACCAGGTTCAAATCTCGACAAATGGACTTGTTGCATATGGAATTTTCGTGCTTTTCCACATATGTAACGTTAATACTAGTTAGGTTTCCTTAAAAGTCCTTCACGAAGGAATCGTTCCGCTCAAGGAGATAGCCTTCGCGAGCTTTGCTAACATCTAATAATCCAATCAAAATTTGCTTGTTTACTGTTTTGTCATAGATTAAAAACCGTTTCTATGTATAAGAAGGCTTTCCTTTCCTTTGGATGTTATTTATTTATTTATTTTGAAACTTCCTTCTCATCGCTTCTTAGGTAAAAATTTTAATAACTTTTAAGGATTAAGAATTCATTTCATGCAGTTTAATATTGCGAATACATATTGTTAAAGATAAATATGAACATAAGTCTTTTTATAGTGATAAACCTTGTAGTGTGTAAGTCTTGATACTTTAATCTTCTTGTACAAAGAAATCTTCATTCTGTAAATTAATAGTTTAAAATTTTGTTTAGAAAAAAGAAATTGTTTTTCTGTAAATTATTACTTTAGAATCCTGTTTGGAACACATATTTCTTTCGACAAGAACATTCTGTACATCTTTTGATATAAAATCCTCATGTCTTACTACAATCATTGAGCGAAATTCGACTACTCTTTTAAACTCTGCTTATAGTAAAATCATCTGCTTATAGTAAAATCATTAAGTATTTCATTTTTATTTATAAATCCAACGAAATATTACCTTTTCATTAGTACGGTATACATTAAATTAAATATGATTACAGAAATAACATTTTATATGCAACGAAACGAAATCTTAGCATAACTATTAACTCTTTCATTTTTATTTATAAATCCAACAAAATACTGCCTTTTGATTAGTTCGGTAAATATTAATCAAATATGATTGCAAAAATCACATTTTAAATCCAACGAAACGACATCTTAACATAACTATTCCCTATGGGGTGTTGCCATTTTTGACGAAATAATCACACAGATAAATGATTTTTTGTAATTAATAGCTCTGAATTAAACTATGTAATGACTTGCATTATTCTTACATATAAAAACCAAAAATTACCCTATTAAACTTTATGTGATGATGAGAATAAAACAAGTTCTATTGAAAACGCATATTTAAATGTTATTTTCCTACATTATAATCTAATAATTCTAAATCTAATCTTAATCGATCTAAATATTAAAATCTAAAAGTACTTTCTTCGATACTGAGGTAGTTTGATAACCGAAATGAATCTGAGAATACTAATAAGTTTAATATTGCTGCACATTCAGAGCATCATGTTACCATTATTGCTTATTACCCAAGCAATAATGGTAAAACGCTTGATAATCAGCCCCTTCCTCCCAAAAAATATGCTTTTGTCGCGATAAATTTTTTCGAGAATGAATGATGCAGCATGAAAGAACGCGATGTTAATGTTGAAAGGAGGGATAAAAAGAATGAAAGAGCGACCAATTAAAACGTAAGAAAAAGCAAGATGGGAAATTTATTGACGTCATCCCATTCGTTCTGCGGAGCGGTCAAGCAACAATTTAAAATTTTCGACTCTTTAGCTTGTTCTCTCTTCAGTGCGACAGAGAGATTTTGCTGTTGTGCGCTCGACAATCGTGTTGGAATTCTTTTCTGTTTTTAGAACAGATTATTAAACTCAGATGATTCATTAGAAACTATTGATACTTTCAGAAGATTAGGGCATTTGAAAGAATCATTTTCTTCCAAGTTTTTGGAGCTTGTGTTACTCCTAGGTAGGTAAGTTTAATTTATTTTTCTTCGGATGCGTTTCATTCTTTTCCTCAGATTAGCTTTATCTCGAAATATGAGATAATTATTGATTAGAGTCAGTTTCCAATTTACAGGATAATAGTGGGATGGTAATCACGATTAACTCTAACTCATGGTTTAACCAAGGGCAGTTAAAAAACGCAGAAAAGAAAACTCATATTATAATTAAAAGAAAATAACTATCAATAATTCATCAGTGTTTTTAAACAGTTGAATGTGGAAGATAAATTCATTTAGTTCCTTAAATTAAATCTGTGTTCAAAACAAAAAGAACGTACTGTAAATAAAGAAAAAATAAGTATCGTGGAAATGGAGAAAGTAAATTATAAGTGGCATTAAAACGTAATACTTATAACAGAACTTGAACAATATCAGTAAGTTTAAACTAGCGTAAAAAAAAAAAAAAATCAGAAACATTTTTTCTGTTATACAATGTACATTTTTTATTGTGCAATATGCATTTTTTATTGTGCAATGTGCATTTTTATTATACAGTATACATTCTGGATTACATACAATTGAAAATCATACTATGAACAAAAATAATTTCCAATACTATGACATATTCTGCTATCATTACAGTTACCCACGTACTTTTTTCCACTTTTTATATTTTGCTTCGACAGTTTTGTTTTACATTGATTGTTTACGACAGTAATTTTTTCATCGTTCCGCACTAAGCTAACTTCTTTTTTCAATCAAAGCCTGGTTTGTCCTCAACACGATTAATCTACCCATGGCTAAACGGAAATGATTGTATGCGCATTTGCGAAATGTTTCTGTTTTGAAGACTGTTTTCCTGTTGTCTTTGAAAGTACTATGAACCTTAATGTTTTTTTAAGTTTTGTCATATAAATTTATAAAACTTTAGTTTCACAATAATCTTTTCCAGTAGTGTATACCTCAAGAACAATTCGAGAGAAAAAAAGATTAAAGTAGCAAATTTATAAAGAACATTCTCTATTGTGTGCAAATGACGTCTTTCCTCTAAATTTTAAACCGAAAACGGAAAAAGTAATTTTTCGATTTTCATGCTGTATAATGCTAAATCAGTGTTTCTCAAACTTTTCTGATTCACCTCCGACTTGTAGAAAAGAAACTGAATGCTGAACGCTGTCCTGTGGACCCACATACCTATTTGTTGTAAAAATATATAAGAAAATAAAACGGTAAGGGGAAAGTTGAATTATCTGCATATTAATTTAACCGTAAATACACAGTCATATATAGATATAACATCAAAAAGGACAGAGTATTCTGTTCTAAACCTTTTGAAGACGCAGTATGTAATTTAGATTGATAGAGGTAATAAAATAATGCAGCACTGAAAATGCATAAAACTAGAATCACTTAGTATTACCATCACTATCAACAAAGATTTTAATTTTTCTGTTCTTGATTTTATTCAGATGCAACTTACGTAATTTTAAATATTACTGTAGCTTTGATCTTCTGTACTTGCATAGAAAAAGTTTTCATAATTATAAAAAAAATATTTTTAATGCGCATCTTCTTAATAATTTATATTTTTATTTTATTTCCAAGCAATATTCTTGAGTGATGGAATTTATAATATATGCTGATAATGCATTTTATTATACACATTGTTCATAAAAGCCTTAATGCGATTTTTATTTCACAGCTGTTCGTCGTAAACTTATGCTTCCCAATTTGCAAAAAAGTGGCGCATATATTCACGTTTTGGCATTTTATAATTCAAACTTGTTATATTTTTTCCGTTTCCTGTAACTCTGCTTGGTAAATGTTCATACTCAAAAATTAAAGCACAAAAACGTTAGACTCCCGTAAGATAAAAACTGGCCAAGATATATGATTTCAAAAATATGGAAATTTTGTCGTATTTTATCTTGAAGAGTATTTTCATTAAGAGTATGGCAACTGAATTTTTGCCGTATTTTACCTTTGCCATATTTCACCTTATCTTGAAAAGTCGGTTAAAAAATGAATTAGAATAATTCGGTGTTGATTCCCCCCCCCCCGTTTAAATTCAATCGCTGGTATTCTTTTTTAGTTTATTAACATTCTTTAATTTGTAATTTTGCTTCATATGGCAAGCCAAAAGAATTTTCTCTCAAGTGATTTACAAGTTTTCAGATGCTAAACATATGTTTTTGGTATTCTAATACAATTTTGTTACTTTACAGTCATAATCTAATACGCATACAACAATTTATTAAACTAGAAATATTTTTCTTTTTAAATTTATGCAAATAATGCTACGAGTTGTATTTGTGCAAATAATAAATACCTGTCACTTTTTTCTGAAATTCGAGTTTTATAAAATTCTTTGAATAAAATCGCCTTTATGAAAATAAATAAATAAAATTGCGTTGCTCAGTACTTTTCATGACAGTCTACATAAAAATGCTCTTCATTTAATCTATAAACATTAGAAACCTTTTTCGGAACTGCTATTTCATTTTTATTTGCAACTTTTTTTTTTTTTTTTTCAGTTTGTGTACATATCTTGAACATATTTTAAAGTTTAAAAATTAAATGTCTCGGTCAGTTTGTATGAGTTTCACATATTTTGTATTTAAGTTTTTAGGATAAGTTTAAACTTTTTTAAACCTAATTAAAGGGACCAGGTTACTACACAAAAATTAGATTTTAAAATTTTTACGAAATTCATTTTTTTTTTTTAAATTTAAATGTGCCTTAGCATGAAAATTTTTCCTATCTGAAGCATTTTTATAGTTGGAAATATATATCTAACAGCTGCGAAAATAAAGATTGTATAAGAACGTTTTATGGGCACGGTATGTACTTAATTGAGTATTTTTCTTAATCTTTGTAACATTACACTAATTAAAAGCTGATTCTGACGTCATATAAGGCATGTCTTTAAAGTAAGTACCGTTTGGAAATAAAAAAGAACTAAGTAGAATTTTCTTACCAACTTTATTTTAATATGAAAGTCTGTATCGCAATCTAATTTTACATAATTTCCGCCAGTATTAAGGAACTTATCGTATCGTACAACCAGCTTTTGAACATCCTACAATCAGCCCTCTTTATAGAAGTCTGTCGCCTGTTTGGACACGCACTGCAACACGATCGTTTTGACCTCATCATCTTCGTTGTGGCGAAGATCGCCCAGGTGCTTCTTTAAGCTCTCTTCTTTAATTCGCTTCTTCTTCGCCCAGGAACAGGTGGGAATCACTGGGCTAGCGCCCAGTGATCGGGACGGTACGGAGGGTAATCAAGTTATTCCCAACTAATTGGTGCGATGAGATCTTGAGTTCGTTTAGTGGCATGTGGACGGCATTGTCATGAAGCAAAACGATCCTCGAACTCAACTCAGCATGCTACGCATTTTGTTTTGGATTGCACAGCGCAGTTTGTTTAAAGTCTCACATTGCATCGTAGAATTTATTGTGTCACCACGAGGCAAAAAATCCTCAAGCAACACCCCCTTCCTGCCCCAATATACTAACCAGCTAGAATATGAAAAACTGGAATTGTCTGTATGCCTTCTCTCTTAAGTGACAGAGGATTTACATATCGGAGATGTTACATTTAAGATGATAATAACATAAAATTAAGCAAAGTTACATAATATAACACAAACTGTTGCGTATACTCTTTACAATAGTGGATTACATAAATTCAACAGAATTGACATTTTGGAGATTGTTGCACTGGATTTTGCGAACTTCACTCTCTTGGGTGATGATGAATACCGCCATCCCATAGACTGCTGCTTAGATTTTGGTGTAGCGTAATGCAGATTTCATCGCCTGTGACAATTTGGCTTTAAAAATCTAACCTTTTTCACTGTACCGCTGACAGAAAGTTAAAGTACTATTTAAACATAAATTTTGAAATACTTGCAACTCTTTTTTGTGCAATAAAAGTATAAAATCACGTATAAAGTATTTTAGGTTATAAAAGTATAACCTTAGCTGTACCTCTTAACCCTATGAATCTTGCACTTGCTTCGACAAGTTGCCATCAACACAAATATTTCAAATGATAGTTTACTAAAGACTATAACAAAGAAGCTATTTATACTCTTAATTGAAATATTTCATATAAGGACTAAATGAACCATTTTCTCTAAATGTTTTACCATTCGTATATGTATAGTTGCTGTGAACAAAAAACAGGATTCCAGGATGAAAATTTCTAATAATGAGGTAATAAATGAATAAATGTTTAATTAATAACAACTATTTACTAATAAAAAAATAAATGTACATAATTCTGTAAAAAAAATAATAAATTTTCAAAACTTTGCATAATGTAAAAACAAAATTTGCATAATAACGAACATATCGAAAGTTATTTTCTGACTCACTGTTAGGTCTCCATTTACATTTTGGGAAACACTGGATTAAATAGTTACAACATAAATAAAACTCAAAATTAGCTCTCTTTGAGTCAAAAATCTTTACCAGCTAATTATTAATGAGAATAATAAAATAGCTTAAGGGGAGTTGGAACCCCAAAATCTTCAAAAAATTGTGATTTCGGATTTTTGCATTTTCAAATTCTCTACACTTTAATCTTTCTAAAAATACCATTCTTTAATCCCTAAGAAAATTAGAACTGTAAAAAATTAGTTTTTAATTTGTCATCTATTGCTTTGATCAATGAGGATTTTTACATAAAAACGCGTTTTTCTCCAAACGTTATTTTTTTTATACTCGATGTACCTTTTCTCAGGAACTACTGTTCACAGGTATCTAAATTTTTTATGGCTTATTTATTAGGTTCCCTAATATTTACTGAAATGAGCTTTTTGTAATAAACTTAGGAAAAAAAATTTTTTTTGTGTGTGAGAAAAGTGCTAAATTTTACTATGCCTAACAAAATATCCTGTAATTTACTCTCAAATTCAAAATGTTTCAAAAGCTCATTTCAGTATAATCAGATAGGTATACTTTAATTGCAGAAAAAATTTCAAGCTTGTATCTACAGCAGATGTTGAGAAAAGGTACATC